GGAGGAAGCTATCGCCTCCGCCACTATCCAGGATGATTGGAGCTGGTGTTCCGGGTAAGGCAGGCTCCAAGTTGTTCCCCCTTCTTGCGTCATGCTTTACACCACCTTCCTTTTCTGTAATGGACTTGTCCTCTGAATATCTGCCCTCTCTCTCGTCTCGTGTAGGTGGTTCTTGATCTTGATGACTGTGCCCTGACACGCTGCCCTTCATCTTGGATGTTATTGGTTGAGGCCTGTGTGGGTCAGGGTGTGGGTCTTCAACACATTTAATGTGTTTAAGTAACCTCTCGTGCTTTTCCTTTGGGGGGCTTTGTCGGTTTTCCTCCAGGGCAGAGTAGGGATGCTTACACCCCTTGCGACAATCAGCAGGCTTCCTCTCAGCCTGATCTGGAGGGCCTTTGATGTACTCTAGGGGTTGTCTTGGACCCTCTTCCTGGGACTTCTGTACCTGACCCTTACCCAACTGGTCTCTCTCAAGCTCTAGGTCTTGATGCTCCGGAGGGGTCTTCTTCCAGGCCTTGCCAGGTTCTTTAAATATCATCTCTGTCCCATCCTGGCGTTTGGTCTTTGTACGTTGTCCCAAAGCGTCAGACTCTGTCTCTGTTCCACTTCCATTTTGGTGTTTCCTCTTTCTAGCTTTTCCTGAAGCTTCGGGCTTCATCTCCACCCCAGGCTGTTTGGGTTGCCACATGGAGATTGCTTTTTTGGCAGTAGCGGCCTTTCTGATTTCCACGAACCGTATGCCTGGCTCTGAGTTGGTACTCGTGGGGTGTTCGCCCTGATGTCTCAGGAGAGCTCTTGTCAACCGAGTTGACTTAGCCCGTCAGGGTCAGTCAAAGAATGTCGATAGTTAAGGTGTCAATATTGGGAACGGATTGGAGAACAGATGTTGGCGGTTCACCCGGTTCCACTCTGGGAAGGAAACTCTGAGGAGTTCTAAGAATACTTCCTCAGAAGTATCCTTTTAGGGTGCAGTAACCAGCTACCAGAAATTTCACAATCGGACTAGTTAATAAAGGTTAAGACACCAGGCCTAAACCTAGCAGCTAAGACTTTGGAGGCAAGCTCGCCAATGATGTCTAACTCAGGGGGTTGCCCTTAGTCACAGCCTTCAAGGTTCCATAGCTGGTGATGATGTCACCTGAAAGAACGCAAATCAACTGTTCTGGATGGTGGAAGCCCTCCCCAACCCAAACTCGGTCCAGGATTTCAGAGTGCTCCCTTGCCCGAGTGGGAAGTTTGAATGAATTGATACATAGCTCGGTTCCCT